GTTTCAAATACTCTCCATGAAGCCCTTCCAACGGATCACAGCATCCTAAACCCTAAACCCTAGACCCTACATCCTTAAACGCTAAACCCCTAAACCGTGAAACCCTAAACTCTAAAACCCTGAAGCCTAAACCCCTAAATCCAAATCCTCAAAGCCCAACATTCATCCATCATGGGAAAAACTCACAGTGGATGATATTGGCTCTTATAACCGAAGAGGATCGAAGAGGATCGAAGAGGCACTAGGACGTTAGCATAAGCTACGGTAAATTCTACTGTAAACCCTAAACCCCCAACCCAGAACCCCAAAGCCCTAGACGCTTAACCCCTACACCCTAGACCCCTAAACCCGTGAACCCTAAATCCCTACGCCCCAAACCCCTGAACCCTAGACGCCTAAGCCCTGAACCTAAAACCTTAAACTCCAAAACCCTAAACCCGCATTTTGAATCCAGCAGCCACTCGTTTTCAGAACCGAACGTAGGACGCTGAGATCGACTCCACCGGGCTGATGGGTTGGCCAGCAAACCTGACTCACGGATTTAGGGATTTAGGTTTAGGGGTTTAGGATTTAGAGATTTAGGGTTTAGGGATTATGGATTTAGGGTTTCGGGATTGAGGTTTAGGGTTAAGGGTTTAGGGTGCAGGGTTTCAGGATTAGGGCTTAGGATTTGGGTTTGGGGTTTAGGGATGGCTTTAGGATTTTGGGTTTGGGGTCTAGGGTGCAGGGTTTAGGATTTTGGGTTTGGGGTTTAGGGTTTGGGGCTTAAGACTTCGGGCTTAAGGATACAGGCTGAAGGTTTAGGGCTGGTTTACATGGAGGTTCATTGGCCTTAGGAACTATTTATACGCTGGGCTTATCGCCCTCCTTATAATCCCACCGCCCTGCCTCGCAGGCTTTAAAGGAACAAACGGTTCAGGGTTTAAAGGTCGGCTATTCTAAATAGTTGTTGCTAAGTCCCATGAGCCTTCAAGTGAGCTATAGTCTAAACTCCTAGTATCCCCATTAATAAACCCTACAGTAGTCCCCCATATAATCCCCTATATAACCCCCTTTCAGGAGTTTAGACCATAGTACAGGCAGGGTTTGGGGATTGAGCTTCGGCTAGGATTGCAATTTGTAGGTGGATGAGGAGCGGAGGCTTCTGACCACCCAGCAATTGCACAAGGAAGGAGCCCCTGCATCTACCATAGGAAGATGCTGAGGTGCCCAGGCATACACGGTTTGGGTTCAGGGTGTAATTAGGGCTTGGACCTTTTGTAAATTTGTATACATTTGCAGAGAACACAACTGAGAACACAATTCTGAAATTGTTTTTTGGACTTTTGGACGAGTAGTCCTGTTGAAACACCCAGATGACTTTCTAAATAGAGTTGGGAGGCTTGGGGGTTTGGGGCTTGGGGTGTCTCAGCCGTGCGTATGCTGGCGACCCTATGGTATGTGGGATTTGGGGATAACTTTCATAGTTATGTAAAAGAATTTTTGAGAAAACTACCATTTTGCTGGGATGCCCGCACATAAAGGGATCCCTGATTTCTTGGCAACCAGTCACACCAACACCACACTCATCTAAGCCTGCTGACCCAACCCCTAAGATCTAAACCGTGTTCGTGTCTCTCCAAACTCTGGCATCCACAAATGGCAGCAAGAAGGAGCTTTAATAGAGATACCCTTGTTTCGAGAAAGCCTGGACCCCGGAGACGGCTTCCGGTGGAGGGTTTTAATGGGATAGATTTACGGGGCGGCTGTAAAAAACTGATATAGCAAATAAGGTTCATATTGCATATGGATTCTTCCCAGGAAGGCCCCAGCTGAAAAATCCTAACCCTCAAGCCCTCGAAAACCCTCGCTTTGAATCCTTACACCCCAACGCCCCAAATCCTGGGTGTAGGCCCTAAACCCTAAACCCTGAACTAAACCGTCGGGTTTAGGGCTTACGGAACCCCTAAGCCCAAAGACCCAAACTCAGGGCTTGGGGCTTTAGGATTCCTGAGTCACAACCCTAAACTCCACAGAACTCTCATCTCATAGGGCTTAGAGTGTAGGGTTTGGGGTTTAG